AGTATGACTATTCGTGAGTAAGAGATAAAAATAAATAAAACTCGTGTATCTTCATTATTTTTTTTACTTTTTTAACATTAAATTAATATTTAATAATTAATGTGATGGATGAGCCTGCAAATCACTGCACACTTTCTCAAATTGAAGCTTTCACAATATTTCGCGGCGCCACTGTAAAGAGGGCGCGGCTCCCCGGGGCGCCGCGGCGCACAGTTTGGGAATCACTGCCTTACGAAATAACGTAAAAATACACTAAGCCTTTTCTCTTGGTTTAGTATATTGTTGTAATTTTTCTTAAACTATGCTTTCTCGTTATGAAATCTTAATCAATCCAATAGTCATCAGTCGCCTCCTCATCAATCCTCCTTCGTCTTCCGGTCAAACCAACTGACGAATTCCCGTCAACCGACTTTTTCTTTGAGAAAGAAAGTCGATTAACAGACCAAGTTTGTCTTGACCGTGTCATCTGTCCGATGATCAGGACATGGTTTCTACTCGCCCTGAGGGTGCCAGAATGCAAAATGACAATAGAAAGCCCAAGGTCCGGTGTCAAACTGGTGCTCACCGATCGAGCTCAAGTTGCCATTGCAGTTGTGGGCTAAAGGAGGCCCCATGCGACCCCCTAACTCAAGGCAGTCAGACTCCTCGTGGGTTCACTTCTGACCCATGCAGGAGTTGACACGAATCTACCGATTGTGGATCAGCAGGGGGTCGGAGAAGATAAATGACCAGGAAAGACAGCGGCAAAACCTCGTATCTCGTGCGTGCTGTCTGGCCTGAGTGAGCCCACAATGCTGAGCCAACATTGGAGATGCCTCTCCATGGCAACCCGGTTCAATGTGCCAAGTGCTAAGACCCAAGCGTTCTGGGGTGTGCTTTCGCTGCAAACAGCGTATGCGAAAAGTGGTGCACCCAACTACTGACATCAAACCGTTCTTCGACATGGCACCGAACTAAAATAGCCCTTTCACCAGCAAAGTCACTTAACACCCACTCGGACGCTACCATTTTCTCAACCCTCACAGACGCCACGGCCTAATATTTGGCTGCTCAACCAGTACGGTTAGTTTAGCCGGTCATTCTCGCGAAACGGAGAAGTGAGCAGCTCCAACATGCTTTAGTGAGTTTGCAAAAACTAGTATGACCATTTCTCTACAGAGGCTTATTCTAACCGAATATCTCAGTCTCCCTGTATCATACAATCACACACACACACGTGCACACACTCATACAAGCATACATTCATACATGCACGCACACGAACACTCATGCATAGAAGGAAGTAGACAGAGAAGAAAAGTTGACTGACGTCTTGCAACATTTTCATCAGGCTTTAGGTTTCATCGGGCCATTCGCGAATCGATAGGGGCCACAAGACACTCAACGACAATTTCACACAAAACCCTTCACACATTCCTGTATCTGCATGCCTATAAGGCTTGCACGCAACAACCTATAGCCCCCCCCATATATATATTTAATATAATATATATATATATATATATATATATATATAAAATATATAATATATATATATATATATATAAAATATATAATATATATATATATATATTGCATGCAGGTAGAGATCAGGAGAAGGCCAGCACCCGATCGCCATGGCAGTCAGAGGTACGGATCCGAGAGGAGGCATTTTGCTCTTCACAGACAGGGCTCTGCTGGATGGGGGGGACCTGACTCGGATTTCAGTCATCTCGGCACCTGAAATCAAGTCTCCGGCTCGTGAACTGGAGAGCTTGCCAAAATGTCCCCACCTGGCATGCTCACCAGCCTGGCAATGGGGTCCCGGTATCTTTTACAAGCGGCGTGAATGAAAAGTCGCACTGTTGAGAATGCGCAAAACATGCATGCGCCAATGGCGAAAAGTCTTCCGCACTCGAGGGTAATGAAGCTGGTTGCTGAAACCTCCCAGTACTGCCAAGTTGCCACGAGAGCCGATGTTTTTGGTGTCAACTGACGGCTACCATGTCAACACTGAGTGTCAAACCAAGTTGAAGCAAGCGATAGAAATGTGCAAAAACCGGGTATCGAGTCATTCTTGAGTCATTCCCTCGAGCCAATCTACATGGATTCGTCCTAAATCTGTGTTCTGTGGATCGGTTTAGTCCCATCATAGCCAGTAGCTGTGGTTGCTTCGATTTAAAGTGTAGTATTTCTTCAAGCTGCCAAAATAAATGTCTAGAATCAGGTCCAACTAGCTTGTTGGCCAAGCAGACGTCGAAAGGAAAGTGTCCGTTTCATTGTGGCCAAGATTAACTATCAGCATTTCCTCAACTTTTGTGGTAAAGGCTGGCTACATAACTTCTCCAAGATCTACCGATAGTAGCGAGGCCTGCTTGGGACGTCCATCCACCAGTTCATTT